CAATATGAAGATTGAGGCCGGGGTCCTCACAGTCTACCCGGAGTGGCCGAAACAAAAATTGCTGAGAACCGGGCTCAGCGTCCCTTTTCTTTGAGAAGACTGAACATTCTCTGCCTCTCCTTTGAAGATAGAGAAGGATAGAGAAAAGCATCACCTCTTCATCCTACTTTCAGGACGCCAGATTGACATGTTAAAGTTAGCAATGCCTTACTCTACAATCCATACCAAGAAATAGGAACAAGGGTTGATGCAGGGGGAGGGAAAGGATCTGGAAAATCTGTTAATGGTCGCATCGGTATTGAAGGATCAACATCAGCCCAATCCTCAAATACCACTTTGTAGTCTCTGTTGAAAACTGCATCATCATCCTCCCTTGCATCATTCCATATGACATTCCCGATTCGCCCTCCCTGGTTTCCGCCCAGCCAATTTCGACTGAATTTTCGCAAATGAATTTGGATTTCTGACTTATCTGAGAGAAATTGAACTTTTTCTTTTACTTGAGCCCATTTCGTTAGGATGTCTGTTTGAATTTGCTGTTTGATAGTCTCAGTGAAATCCGGGCCATCTAACCTAGCACCTTCCCATTCATAGGTGCACCTTCTCATCCAGATAGCCCACATTACCGCTCTTCTCCCAATACGAAATAGATTATCCACAAATTCTTCATTATCCTCCACTACTTCTGTATCAGGGGACCATGTCTCTAGGAGGATGGCTTTCCACCCCCATGGCCAGGGGACCTGTGGGACTATTTGTGACCATATACGGTCCCACCACCTCCATATCCAGATCGAGCCACCGTTCGTATTTCAGGAATCATCCATCCATCCCATACCACTGCATTCTAACTAAGCAATTTGATGGGGGGGGGAAGAAATCGGGAAAGTTTTCCGGGGACTTCAGTGGTATAGTTGTATCAATATCACTCCAGTCATGGAATTTCAGTAGGTAGTCCCTTACTATTTCCATCCTCCCTTGGCCCTCCTCGGCTTCCTGCTGTGCCCCTTTCCATTCCACCTTCCCTATCCTTCCACCGGTGGTCCCCCCTAGCCAGCTTGAGGATTTTTTTTTTTATTATTATTTTTTTTGGGCCCTTTTTTTTTTTTTTGGTTCTTTTAAGAGCAGCACGTGCTGGGAACTGGGCCCAGCGTCCCATATGAACATACATCAGTTTGTAACACCGGGGCCATTACCCGGCTTCGGCTGAGAAAAACCTGAGAATGGAGTGCTTCAAGCACTTACGAAATCAGAAACCTTCGAAAATTCTAATGCTGATGATACTAATGATACCAGTGATGCTGACAAAAGAATATAGTTACTCATGCTGAGTCAGCCATACTGGACTCCTAATCCTGAACAACTCCAAGCCCTCCCTTATTAGGATATTGCAACTCAGGAACAAGACTAACCTATCCCCCCACTGCCATAGCTGATCTCTTCTCACTACCCAGACTAACCCCACCCCATAAGTTGTCAAGGTAGCCCCCACTGGTTCACCATTGGCTTGCTTTCCTCCCTCAGCAAACCCCAGATCTCTCTACACGGCCTCCCACCCCTGCCAATTGCAGGTTACAAGGCTATGCCCCAGCTCCGGCCAGCGTTGTTCTGCCATCGGCAATCTAGGAGCACAAAACACAGCAACTTCAGCAGTTATCAGTCTAGGTTCGACAATCCATGAATTCCTATATCCTAAATAAAGAAGAAGACCAGGTGCTGCCAAGATTGTAGAGCAGCGGATAACTGGTTTTGAAGTATTGAACTGTATCGAGATTATCAGATCTTTTTTGACACATTGAGTTTATTAGATCATGAAAAGGATACGCTTCCATTGGTCACAGCTTGAGGAAAATTTTTGGATTCTTTGCTTGATATTTTTTTTTGTGTTTAGGGAGCGAATCTGTGTTCTGACATCCTCCCACTTTGCTGTTATTTCAATTTAAATCTGTTGTTGTACACTCTCTGTAAATTCGGGTCCTTCTAAACTTGCTCCTTCCATCTCATATGTGCAGCGTCTTCTCCAAAGTGCCCAAGGCTAGGTCTCCATCTTGGCCCACCGTAGTCCGGGTGATCGTGCCAGATCTACGGCCCACCGCGTTTGTTAGTTTAGCGGTAGTGCCCTCGCAGGTTGCGCCACGATAGACTTTTTCTCCTTATAAGCATTCAATCACAACACAGAAAGACTCGACTCGACTCCTATCCCACGCCGGTCCGCAGGAGTAAAACCCTCCTAGGTGGCCACACCCCTTGAAGTCTTTACTCCCTTGGCACGACGTAGGCCTGCTGTTCAGGTTACGCCGATCAACAACCGACACTAGGGGTTGCGCCCTAGTGATGCTAAACTTTACCGTTAGCTTGGTATTCTCATAAATGCCCCAAGATTAACACAGGTGGTTGAACGGTGTGTCGCAACAATACAGGCCTACTGCGGGACTATGCAGAGGTCTGTCACAAATATAGGGTGTTTACCAGTTCTCTGTGGGACAACACAGAGAAGCACGACAACCCCTCTGCATTCACAAAACAAAATCACCGCCAGACTCACAAGGTCGTGACTGCCCTACTTGATCAGAGCAAGAAAGCCACACATCCCAGTGACATCTTTCGAATTAACCCATTTGCGACCTCTTACGAACTTGAAACAATGGTCAAGCAACAATATGGTTCTTCTCGTCAGACTGTATCATTCAACCCCAACTTACAATGCCATTAGATCGATTAACCACCCTTTATACGAGGGAGGTCTCACTCCATAGGTCTCCCAACCATCCCTCTCTCTCTAGGATGAACTTTCATATGACCTCTTATTAACACATCTTCCCTCTTGAAAAATTAGCCTTCCAACAAGCAAAAGACTGCCTTTTCATAAAAGGCGCCTCTACCATAAAACAACTCAACTGAGAGACCAACTTATGGGTCATCGTCATAACTCTTACAATAAACATTTGGCATGGCAAACATTTGAGTCTCAGAGACTCACAAATCCTTTAGGATTCTCACACTTTCACAAGACAGACTGCGCTCCCTCTCCTTATACCCGGCCCTATCACCCGCCCGTGGGCAGATCGCACGAGTATACCGAAGAGTAGGCAGCTCACATTCATTCCCATTCACAAAACACATATCACACAAAATATCTCTCATACATCTTTCTCACAAAACCATCATACATCAGGATAAAACCACACATGTGAGAGTGAGCGTGATCGTCATGTACACAGGGTAAAATACACAGCGTGATCGTCAAGTAGTTCTCAACTCAGAAATACACCCAGGGATGAGATATCTCATCCTAAAATATACAAAAATAATATTGTGTCATGGCCCACTCAAAACAACTCACGTCACTCTTAATATAGTACATGGTCAACTGTACAGAAAAAATCATCAAAATAGCTCAGAATTCTATTGTCACACAGTGTACACACTCTATTTAACATAATCCTGGTCCTGGTGGTCATCCTATGCCGTAGCCCCCATCTGTACACCCAACAACATAGGTACCTAACTGGCCAAATGAAAGCAAGGTCAACAGATATCTACCCCGCCTAGGCGAACCAGTCCCTACTCACTCATCTCCTCCTGGTTCTGCCTATATAATTGAGCCCTACCTCCATCTGCGGATCGCTCTACTATCCTACCCTGCCTATCATACATTTTGTCACCACTTTCCGTGACCTTTCCCTCAGCAAGGTCCTTTAGGAACTTAGGGCACTGCAGAGCCATATGCTCCCCCTTTTTGCAAAAGAAACAGGTCAGATCGAATGACTTTCTTGGCCTCTTCTTCCTTCGCTGAGACCCTGGCGATGATGGTGCCCCATTGACCTCCCTGCTCAGCTCATAACCCTGAGGCGCGTCCATAGGCTCCCCGGATCCTGTATCCAACTCCTGAGTACTAGTCTCTGGTCGTATCCCAATTCCCTCCGGCCTATACTCAAGCGTATCCAATCTCTGGGGTTTGCCCTCGATGACATCCCCCATCGCGACCCTCATCTCACTCTCAGGAGGTTCCTCTATCCTCTGCTCAGACGAAAATAAGCTCGCACCCTCCTGCATAGTGTGAATCGCCTCAAGAAGCACATCCATAGACCCCTCCGTTGAGCCCTGGACTCGCTCACCGCTGACTGTCGGCAACCCCTCCTCAACTGAAGGTGGCATGGTAGGGTCCGCCATCACCGTAGGCAGTATCGCGAGTTCAATAGGGGTCCTGAACTCGAAGGCCTCTCTCTCCACCTCCCTCTTGGCCTTCGCCTCCTCAGGCTCCAAAATGACTTTCCCCATGGGCAACCCCTGTTGGGGTACAGTTGCAGATAGCTGCCCTGATAAGTCAGGCACTGGCTGCCTCAACTCTCCCTGCCTGCTGCTTTCTGCCCCATCCATGCCGCCTCGAAACTGCTGCCTCAAATCCTAAATGATGGCGGTCTGACTAGCCACCAATGCTCGGCGCTCGCGGACCTCAGCCTCGACGGCCTCCAAATGCACCCCATGGCTTGTCTCCCTGAACTCTTTCCTTCTTAGATCAGCCTCCAACATCATGTATCTGGCAAAGGATGTCTTGGACAGAGAGCGGATCCTTCGGTCGAGATACTCATCCGCTTTCTACGAGGTTTCGACTTCCACGTTGTCTGGAGCCGTCAACTCCTTGCCATGTTGGATAAGGAATTCTTCCCACATCTCCTTGAGTCCATACAGCCTGTGGGGTGGCGGCGGATCCGGGAGTGCCCCCGCTTCTTCCAACCTCTGCCTCTCTTGCCGGATTTCTTCCCAGCGCTTCCCTACTCTGGCCTGCTTTTCCTCAGCCGTTTCCCCTGCTGGTACTCTCCCTCTTATGCGGTGATCGGCTCTCTCCGGGATCTCCGCTTCCACCTCTTTTTCGGCTTGACATGGCTCCTGAGGCGGTTCCATAGGCACAAACTCCTCCAGGTCAGGGTGCTCCAGAGCGTGAGCGGCCAGCTGCTCGTCAATCAGGGCGAGTGCCTCTCTCCTCAGGTCAGCTCTCTCAATCTCTTCTTCTTTCATTCCTTCTGGCGACGGGACCATCTCTGGCAGTGGTGGTGGGACCTCCTCTCGCTATGATTCCTCTTCTCTGCTGGGTGCACTCTCTGGTGGGCTCCTAAGCCTCAGCCCCACAACAGGCGTCTGAGGGGGAGTATCCTCCTCAACCTCTATGACCTCCTCCTCAACACGCCCTCCCTCAGTACTTGGTCCCCTCTCATGCTCAGGGTTCTGAACCTCCTCTTGTGGCACCTCTTCAGCGGGCTCATCACGCCCCTCACTTACTGGCGGCACTTTCCACTGTGAGACGTCCAAGTGTGCCTCCAACTCTTGTAGTGGCTCTTCAGATACTGGCATCTCCTCCTGTGTGTGCAGTGGAGATCCTCCCAGTCCACCCTCAGTAAAGCGATGAAACTCCATTGGTCCCAATCCGCACTCAGGGTATGCTCCTCGCCTCTCAGTCTCACGTACCATCTCCTCTTCTCGCTTGGCGAGCGTCTTTCGTCCTCTTCGCGACGGCCCAGCCTCAGTGGGCTCAGGGTTCCCTTGCCTCCCACTTCTCAGGCGTCTCTTCACTCTGGGTTGAGGTGGCTCCGGTCGCCGGAATGCCTCCCTCAAGTGCGCTCTGCAGCCCTCCCAATCTCGGGCCATGTCCCTGATCTGCCTGGCCAAGGTCCTTTCCGCCTTCCGGGTCCATAGGGGTAACGTCCTTGCCCATTCATCCCTTAATATACCCTGATTATGCATGAACTGCTCGAACGTGGGGATGAACTCCTCTGCATTCCCAATCTCCAAGCGGATAGGTCTACCATCAGGTCCATCAGGTGATGGTCGTAACTCCTGCATCCTTGTCTCCACCTCTGGCCTCGTCCTCGCCTCCCTACGGATCTGTGCGATTGGCTCTGCGAATCTACCAACTCCCCTTAACCTCCCGATTGTCTGGGTCATGGTCCAGCCCATATGATCAGCATACCCCCAGAACTCGTCCAGGAACAACTCAATATCCTCATCATCGTATACTGGTGTGCTCTCTCGGTGGTGAGACCTATGCCGCTCATACCCTCTTGATGCCCCCAACGGCCTCTGTGGCGGTCGTGTCCCCCTCCCTCCTCTTGGCATGGATGTCTTCGCAAAGTCAGACCTGCACAACAGGCGAAGGAGACAACAGACACACGTCGGGGTAAGCAAACAGTTGGAAAAATAAACAAACTTAGGTCAACCCAAACACATACATCATGCAATCCTTCTAACCTACACACCTCTCTATCCCACTCTAAGGGAATTAGATAGTCTATCTTACCTCTTCTCTCGCCACGAATTTCTTCAGCCTCGTTCTTGACACCTAGTCCTTCCACTCTGTCTCATTTAACTCCTCAATCTGATACGCGCCGAAATCCCCGCATCGCACAATCCGATAAGGACCTAACCACCTCTTCTCCAGCTTTCTAGACCACTGTTTTTCCAAGGATGAATCATATAGGAGTACGATGTCCCCAACTGCCAAGGGTACTTTCCTTACTCGTGCCGACTGGTCCCAGCGGGCCTTATCGTCCATCCGACTCCTCTCCACTTTGTTGGATGCTTCCTGGATCCTTTCCTCAATCACACCCACTTGTCGAGCTCGAATGTCGAGCAGCTCTTCAAAAGACAGGTTGACCTCCAAATCCTGATGCCTCCAAGTCTTTAGGAAGCTCTCGATTGGGAAGGTAGCATGTCTCCCATACCATAACGTGGCCGGTGCGTATTTAGTAGTCCTTCTTACCGTAATGTTCTCGACAAAGAACGTTGCCCTCAGATACCGCGGCCACTGTTTGGGCCTACCTTCAGTCCATTTGGCCAATAGGTTTGTAATGGTGTTGTGCCCTCTTTCTACTGGAGCATTTGCCTGAGGGTGCGCGACCGTGGTGTAATTAGCTACTACACCATACCTTGACAACAACTCTTGCACCTCCTGGCAGGTAAACTCCGATCCTCTATCCATCACGAACTCCCTGACAAAAGGATAGCGCAGGTAGTACTCCTCAATGCAACTAACCAAAACTGGCCTAGTCTTCGTACGAATGGCACGTCCATCTACGAAGCCAGATAGGTTGTCATGCACATCAAAGATGTAATTGTAGCCATGATCTCCGAGGGGCATAAATAACAAGTCGAGATGCACTACGGCCCCTACTTCCCTTTCCAGCCTCGGATGCAACGGCTCTCCTGACCTCAGACGAGATTGCTATTGACAAGGTACGCAGGACCGACAGAACTTACCAACCATCTCCATCGTTCCATCCCAATAATATAGCTCACTTATTTTGGCATACGTGGCAGTAATCCCTCAATGTCCTCCCGCAATGCCGTCATGAAGTGCAGCTATAACATCGAGCTAACGGTTCTTGCCGCATATAACTCTCCTGGGATTTCCTACTTGCCTTTTTACGAAGAGATGTCCGTCTCTCACCAAATAACGTTCCCTCATCCTTTGGGCTCTATCGCTTGCATCCCTATCCCGCATCTCGCACGATAGGAGAAGTCCCAGCTCTAAGTAAATTTCATCATACTCTTCTGCCCGGAACGCTTCCTTGATCTCCCCCGCTTCGAACTCGTCATCCTGGCTTTCTAGTACAACATCTCCTCCCTCAGTCGGATTTAGTGAGCCTACTAAATCAAAGGACTCCTGCAGGAGTGTATTGACGAGGAGGTACATTCCCCCCATCAATTCCTCATGCCTCCTTACCCGGTCCGGACCTTCCTCTATCGTCCTTATCTCTTCCACCAGACTGTGATTGCCTGCGAGTGCCAGCTTCATCATCCATTGAACGTCTTTGCCGCCCCAAGGGTCCTCCTCTTCGAAGGGCTTGAGTACTAGCTCAGCCTTCCTTTCATATCCCTTTGGCGCGTGCCAAATACGATGACCAACACAGCTAGGCACCCGCGGAGACCACTTATTGATGTGAAGCCGGATGTCTTCCTCCTGGTCCAAAAAGTCATCAACTGGGGGCGTATCTTCTATTGCCTCTCCTTCCTGCTTATCCCAGTTGATGAGGCTTAGTCCATCAACTCTATTCTTACTCCCTGGGATTCGCTCCAACTCAAAGTTGAACATCCAGATGTATGTTAACCACCTGGCGACCGTTAGATCTAACGGAACATAGTTCCTTAGGGAGAAAGCTAGGGCTGTTGGATCCACCCTCAATATGAACCTCCTGCCAAAGATATAGTTTCGAAAGATCCACAGGCAGTGAAGGACAGCGAGAGTCTCCCTCTTGAATTGAGAGTAGTTTCTCTCTATCGTACACAGAGTTCGACTCTCAAAGCGCAACGGCCTCTCCTTTCCTTCAATGTCTGCCTGGATTAGAACCCCACCCAAGGCAGTTGGTCCAGCATCCGTTTCAACAATAAACGGCCTTACCTCCGTAGCGTCATAGTCTGGCGCTCCCAACACCAAACCTCCCTCTCGAAACTCTGCCTTCTCCTGATCCTCAACCCAAATTCACTCCTGATCCCGACGAACTAGCTTCCTCAATTGCTCTGTCTTGGCAACAAAGTTCTTGACAAAGGTCCTTCAGAAGCCACACGTACCAAGGAAGCTCCTCACATCTGTTATCGAGTGGAAAGGCACTGACCACTCCACTATCTTGTCCGTTTTCTTAATGTCTGGCCGTCGGGCACTCTCATTACAGACAAATCCCAAAATGGTAGCTTCCCTCATGCAATGCTTGGACTTGGCTCCACTAGCCGTAAGGTTATACTCTTCAAGCAAGCCTATGATTTTGTCAAGGTCCTGGACGTGCTTCCAGATAAAGCGCCTTACTCCCGGCAGGACTTCACCGTCCTCTCTTCTCCTTGGCCCTTTCACTGCCAAGTCGTCGATATATGGCCGCGTAATATGCGGACTAACTGTTTGCATGGCCCGAATCATATGTCTCTGGACCATCGCCACATCGTTCGTCCACCCTTGCGGAGCCACATTCATGTGGATAAGCCCTCGAGGCATATGCATCGCTGTTACCGGTCTGTCTGGTGGATAGACCGGAAACTGGTCATATCCGGAATAGAGGTCAATAAGCGAGATTATTGACCTTTCAACACATGACTCTGACATCGCATCTGCATTCGGCAAGTCTCCTGCATCCCGCACAGTCACAGCATTCAGCCTCTGCAAATCCTGCACCCATCTCAACGTCTCATTAGGTTTGATGAAACAAAACCACGGGGACGCGTAGGGTTCGCTTGAATAATCGGCGACGCGCGTGCGTATCTTGCCATCGAGGTAATCCACTACCTTCTTCTCTTCGTCAGGATTAGGATATCGTGCCCCTCTTAAGTTCCATGGCTCATGTGGCACGGTATGGATGCGGATCATAGGGATCTTGTCTACATCCAACCTGCCGCGCTCCTCATCGCTAAAAGCATAGGCGCGATGCCTCTTCTTCATCAACTCTACTATCAGTGTCCTCTCTCGAGGTAGTAGGAAGTCAGGCTCTCCCACTATCAGCTTCCCCTCGTTCTCCTCGCAAATACGGCATGGCCCCACCAAGGCGCTCTCTTTCATCTGCCGTATCAGAGCTCGCTCCCGTTCATAGTACACATCCTCATCCTCGGTAACAAGAACGGGAACTGGGCGACACTTTTTATCTATCGTCTTGTACCGCCTTTGGGAACCCTGCTTGAGTCGTCCCCTAAAAAAGGCTAACTTGCTGCTCGCGCCTGCGCCTGTGCCATAGCAGGATCCCTTCCCCCCTTTGGAAGCCGATAAACCAACTTCTTCTCTCGTACATGGGGATACTCCAGGACTTATTCTCTCAGCGCCTGAATGGCGTCTGGATCTGCCATTTCATGCGTAGCCACTACGTCCATGACCTTATTTACATCAGACAAGCTGAGCGAGAATGCTTCTCCTCCTATTTCTTCCTCGGGCTCTGCCATAAGCCTTCGATGCTCATCCTCTGACTCCTCAATGGTGAAAGAGCCAGGATTGGGCCTGTTCCTGATGCTTCTGGGTGCAGTGTTCCGACAGGTGATTACCTCATAATTCCCGTGTGCTGGATCACACAAGATCAAGATTAGCGACCCGTCATGCTTGTTGTACATTAGGGTCTCTGTCCTGCACAAAAAGGATCTCCCTAGGAGAATGCTATGACCCACGTCTGGCATTACGAAGAAGCATGCCCTTGCCTTTACCCTGCCAATCTCTAGCAGTACATTTGAGGCGGTCCCGCAAAACACGGCCTTGTTGTTGGCCCCGTGCAGAATGTCGCAATCCGAGCGGTCTATTTCCAACCCAAATCTGATAGCGTTAGCTTCTCGAATAATATTCATTTCGGCCCCCGTATCCACCATGGCTGTGCACTTGGAACCTCTCACTACTAGGTCCACCATACCGGATGCCACACACTTCCAGTCCATCTTCGTTCCTGGCTCTGGCCACTCCATCTCCTTTGGCAAAATTACACTGACGTGGACATTCGACACCAACCGCCTTGACAACCTACCCTTCAGCTCATTGCAGAGCCTTGGGGCGGACGCCATGATCTCCTTGAGGGTCATAAGGTCATTATGGCCTTCAAGCAGCCTGTCGATCACTCTCTCCACATCGAACCCTTCCTCTAACCGGACTGCATATTTTTTTTTCTTTGGCGGTACATCGCGCAGAACTGGTTCCGCTTCCTCTCGGCTTTCCCTCTTTCTGACCCTTTGTTTGACTCTTTGATCTTCCTCCTAGCGCAACCTCTCTTCCTCTTCTTAATCCTCCACCTCCACCGTTTCCTTTCTCTTCCCTGACTCAGGTTCCTTTCGGGGAGGCTCTTGACTCGCACTGGCCTTAGCCCGACCTCGAGTACGGGCTGCCTGCGCGAGCCTTCCTTGCGGCGTAGGAGGCCTAGTCATCATTCCTGACCAAGGGCCTGATCCCACGGTCGCCACCCCAGGCCGTCCTGGCATGGATTCTGGGCCAGAATCATAGAGGAAGACCTTGGGGAGATTCGCCCTCCACTCCTTTACTTCTTCGCAGAAACCTACCAACTTCCGTTGGTATCTCTCCACCTTGTCAAACAGATATTTCATCTTCCCCAGCAGGACCAACACGGGTTCTACCCTTTTCTCCTCACTCTCATCCTCTGACTTGATGATTATGGGTTTTTCCCTTATAACCCCCCCTCGTAGCCCCAGGGTCACTTCCTCGTCACTTCCCACCTCTTCTATTCTAATGGGTGGGTCGTTTTTTTCCTGCCATAACCGGAATGTGGCAGGAGGCGCTTGTCGTGCCACCACTCTCCGTTGGGCCTCCGCCCTTACTCCGCCAGGGACCTTTCTGTCGATGTACCCTCCAAACTGATCGTATATGTCTACATCCATGTTAGAGTAGATCAGTCTCACTCTCTCGTCTTCCCGCCTTGTGTTGCAGAACCGTATAGTATGACCTTGCTTGTCGCAGTGCTGACATATGGCGGTCCTCCAATCAAAGCGGGTCCTTCCCCCTCCTTGATTCCCTTGATTCCCTTGGCTACCTTGACTCCCCTGGCCCTGGTAACCTTGGTTATCCCATGACCCTCCTCGGCCACTGCCATTTCTGACGCGTCCTCTTCCACCGCCTCTCCCTCCATTTCCTTGATCCCTTGGCCTTGATTACCTCCACCCGCCACACTACCCTGTGAACTTTGTGCAGGCGGCGGAGGTGGTGCCGTGGGTTGGGCCTGGGCGGCGGGATAGCTTGGAGGCGGCATACTCGTTTGGGGCGCAGCGTATGGCACTACCTGTCCAGACTGGGCTGGGTTTCCCCAAGGCACATATGTATTGATTATGGGTCATGACCACTGCCCAAACGGCGGTACCGGAGCGTGCGAAGTGCCCGCACTACTTGACGGGGCCGACACACTCAGGGGCGAGGCTACCACTGCTTGGGGCACCTGCCCCTTCCCAGTGCCTTGTCCTCCCTGCGCTAAGTTGGGCTGCTTACGCTGCGCCTTTGAGAGGTGTTGGGGTATCGGCTCCTCATCTTCTCATCTTTTTTGGGCAGCTTCCTCTACCACGGCCTCCTTTGCCTCCCCTTGGACCACCGTCACCACCTTCCTTTGTATCACCGTGTCTAGTTCTGCTAGTACATCGGTGACAATCTTTTTCACTCCTGGGGTCCTGGACGCTGAAGCGTCCCTTTCCTTCCTTTCTGCCTTTGTAACCGTACCTGGTGTTGCTCCACTTGGTCTAGGCTTCCATCCTCCACCCCCTTGTGGATGGTAGCTCAGGTGAGCTTCGCGCTTCCTCCCCCACGGCTCGTCAACTCGGATGCTTCCAATGCGGTGAGCAACCCCAGGAAGATAGCGCACTGCGCCTCCTTTGACATTCCATGCACTTTCCTTGCCCTTTTCTTAAATTCCTGCACGAATGCCCTGATAGTGGTAAAATCATCCTTGTTCATGACCTCCAAATCCGCCGTGGTTATCATGCCATCACCCAACCTGTACTTCCTTTGCATCCCCTCTCTAAACCTGGCCCAATCACCATTGGCGTCATCAACCACTTTCTGCACCTCCTGATGGTGCCCATGAAGTACGTATTTCATAATCCGCTGGAACTTTATTGTATCTGTTAACCCCACCAGCGCTTGGTCAACCAAGTCTAGCCAGTCGGACACCCGTTCTCCTTTGAAGTGGAATGTCTCGACCTTTGGGACGTTGCTTGGCATCCTTTCTCGTTTGTCCAATGCCTTGATGAAATCATCGAGGGTCAGGGTTCTTCCCCAACCGTCGCCTATTCCTCCTGACATTTTGGCCGCTTGTCTTTCGCTTAACTTCCCTGTTACAAGAAAGGGTAAGACTCAAACTTCACTCAGCACCTTAATTTGTCACATTCCTATCGACGTAACCGCTTAGCCCCTAGGCACTTCAAACTTAGCTGACGCTGCCATTCTTTTCATTCCCAGACTTACTTCCATAAAGTCTATTCCCATCATGAGTTTTCTCACCTAATCATCTTAGTCACCCGCATAATCGTACAAACCTCAAACATCTCTACTTATAGGTTTATTCAGATTTTCCCACTCGTGTCTGATGTCTCCTTACTCTAATACCCAAATGTCATTCCACCAGGCAACGGCGCCACCTGTCGAGCGCATTGGTCCGACACTACTCAAGGGTAACGCGGGACCCTCCCGGCCGCATCATGCAGGAGTTGGAATTAATCCTCGTCGCGAATACATACATAGAGCTTCTACAAGCCGCTCCGGCCAAGTGCGTCAGCCATACCTCTCGCGAGCCCCTATGACAGGATAGGGCCTATGTGAGACACGACTTACCTCCACCTTACGGGAGCTGTCACCTCCCTTCGATGGGCGTATCCCCGCCGAGCTACCAGTCCACAGTACGAAAGCTAATCAGTTGCAATCGCAGAGGTGGACCAACCGAGGGCGTTTCTCGTTCGTTGTAGCATAGGGGGTGCGCGCGGTACTACGCCTCTATCGGACCCGCACGCAAACCGACATCTTGGGGGGTTGAGGTCCCAAGTGTGACTCGTCGCCGGTCGACTAGGAAGCATCCCACACGCCACGCGCACACCACTACAAAGAACATAAAAATAAAACACACACACAACCTACGCACGAAACGATACAACACAAACAACGCGACAACGCTCCTAGTCCCCCTCGGTAGCCATCCCATAACTTTCCAATGCGGACTCGGATTGGCGTCGTGCGTGAGACTTAGTATAAAACCGCGCGGACGCCGGACTTTCTCATATCGACTCGCAATGCAAGCATACGCAAGCGGTCCCAGTGATGGCATACTATGTAGTGCCCATAGTCAAGCGCTCCCTCATGGATCCGAGTACCGCTTATGACACTCAAGTGTCAGACTCGACGTATCGTGAGGGTCTTCTCCCTCACGATATTGCACGGCTGAAGGAATAGCCGTGCGGCCGCTGCGAGACTTCGGGCTTTTGGCTGGAGGTTCTCGGCAGGCAGGACGAATAGGCTCTGCGCGGGGGAAAATTCCTTCCATGCACAGTCTAGGGTTTGGGATGTCCTGGACAAGGATCTTGAATCCCGGCCCAGGACCAACGTCCGACTAAGAACTTCAAAAAAAGTATACAATCAAGAGGTGGGGGTTTTCTGTCTACCTCAACCCCTATTTAACGCTTAATACGCTGGCCCCTTGGGCCATGCGAACTTCCAACATAGGTACACACACACATATATCTATCTATCTATATATATATATATACAAGGGGGTAAGTATGTGACGATCACTTCTCACAATCACAGTGAGGCTCCTCACAACCATATGTACATGTGTGATCGTCGACAGTCAAATCCAACATCCGAACCACAGAACATACTTGCAATCACATCAAAGAATCAAACAAGGTTTGCATATTACACGGAGTCAACCCCAACCACTCTCTGTACTCATACCCCTCGCTTTAGCCATGCAAGCCCCAACCTCCAGCCAACCAACCATAATTAAGAACTCAGTACCTTTGTTAAATGGCCATTCA